AGAAGAGAGAAGAAGAAGGAGGAGGAGGAGGAGGAGGAGAGAAGAAGAAGGGGGAGGAGGAGGAGGAGAGAAGAAGAAGGAGGAGGAGAGAAGAAGGAGGAGGAGAAGCAGCAGCAGGAGGAGGAGGAGCAGGAGGAGAAGCAGGAGGAGCAGGAGGAGCAGGAGGAGGAGCAGGAGCAGGAGGAGGAGCAGGAGCAGGAGGAGAAGGAGGAGGAAGAGGAGGAGGAGCAGCAGGAGGTGGGGCAGGAGAAGCAGGAGGAGGAGGAGGAGGAGAGAAGAAGAAGAGGAAGAAGATTTTGCTGGATAAACAAATGGAAAGGTTCTAGATTCCACTGTGCTCTGAATTCTTCAAGGCTCCACTGGCCCCAGAAGTCTGCCTCTTTAAATAGAAGTGATTTTAAGATCCTTAGACAAGAATACAAAGTTCCAGAGAATAACGCCACCAGGTTCAAGGAGTGAGGTCTGATTTCTCTGTGTAATGTACTCCAGACCATTCCCCAAAGCTGGAGAAGTGGTGGGGACATTCTTCATTCCTGTAATGTTCACCACAAAGATGTTCTTGTTCTAGCAAAGACCCAAATGCTTCCTTCAGCCGTTTGAAAAGAATTCCAACAAGAAACGAGCGGGGTGGGGTGGGGGTGGGGGGACCAGATTCCATGAACCAGGGCTGGAAGGGAAAGGGAAAGGAAGAGGCTTGAGGATGGAACAGGTAGGTCCCCACAACCTTCTGCATTGGCATCCGTTAAGTCAGGAAACTATAAGGGGCCACATACCCAGGGCACTAAGGATGTGTCTGGAATATTCTGTCCAATACGGTGGAATGATATAAAGCCCAAACTCTGAAGTTAGACCTCTGCAGTCTGCCCTTGGCTTCACTATCACTTTGCTGTGTGGCCTTGGGCAAGTTTCTTAGGGTCCATTTTGATAATTTGAAGGTAATAATCACGTACATGATCAGATAATAAACTTTGCATACTGCAGTCAAACAATATTAATGTTACAATTATTGTCGTAAATGCCCCTGATACTGAGTCTGATAAGGAAGAGGTGGATTCTAATGCTCAGCTTTGTGCATAGCACATGCATGTGTGTGCATGTATGTATAGAGCCCAGGAAAGGTCATAAGATGTCCTCTATTGTTCTCTGCCATCAGTCAGGGTCTCTCACTGAGCCTGGAGTGCAATATTCTTCAGCTAGGCTGGTAGCCAGCAGGCCCCAGTGACCCTCCTGTCTTGTGAGTCCCACTACCTACTCCCCGCAATGCTTGGGCTACAGGCCAGGCAGATATGATCATGCCTGGCATTTTGTTTGGGTATCGGGCATCCAAACTCAGGTCCTCATACTTGCACAACAAGCTCTCCCTCCCCCTTTCCCATTCCCTTCTTCACCCCTCTCTTGCCACCTTTACCTCTGCATGTCCCAAGTGCTCAGACCTAGATGCTCTTATGAATCCCCCCCCAGCAGCACTGTAGTGGGATGTGCATCGGAAGCCCTGCTTCACAGAAAAGAACCTGAAACTCAGAGAGGAGGTGACTTGAATGTGGCAAGACTAGAATTCAAGCCAGCTGTGCCTGATGTTAGCACCAATAATGGGGATAGAATTTGCCTCTAATCCTTCTCCATCCTTGGGTGCCTCCCTTAGGATCCAGGCAGAAACTCCTCCATGAGGTTATGCCACATACCCCTCACCTACCCCAACCCAACCTCTCCAGCCCAGCATGGAGGCTGATTTCCTACCTACCATTACACAGCACAGGACCAAGGCACCTGTTCTCCAGGGGTTAGCTTGAAGACTGCTCATTATCTAGGACACTGATTTTCATCTAATGGCACCTAGAAGCTTCACCGAATCCCTGTGGGGTAGGTGCCACCTGCCCCACTTTACAAGGGAACAAACTCAAGGTTTAGAGAAGTTCTGTAACTTCCTCCAATGTGAGCTGGAGCCTGGCCCTGAGCCCAGGCTGCCTGGCTGGTTTCTTCTACTCATGTCCCTCTGTAGCCCTGCCTGTTTCCCCTGTCCCTCCAGGGCAGTCCTGGCCTCTTCTGCTCTCTTGTCCTCTGAGTCAGGCTGCTAGGGTCCAGAACGGTACTCAGACCAGCTGGGCTTCCAAAGGCCTAAGGACAATAGTACCAGGATACTTTTGCCCAGCTGGCTGACGGTGCCTTGATTGGGGACCTGCCAGATAGTAGGACTGACAGCAGGGGCCTCATGACTCTTGGTCTTTCTGATTATCACAAGCTGGGCCTCAGATGGATACTGTGAGGGTACAGCAGATGGAGTCTCAATCCTAGGACTCTAGTGCTCCTGTCAGCAGGGGAGGCTAGAGCTGGGCAGACAGCGGGCCCATCCCACTTCTATCATTCTCCCTCTCTCCACCTTGATGATTCCTGGAATTCTGTGGTTCCTGTAGTTTGCCCCATGGTTTCGATGGAATCCCTCCCAAGCCCCTCCCAAGCCCATAAGTGGAGGACAAGTTTCCAGGTAGTTCTGGAGCTGCTGCAAAGGAAGCCATGCGTTGAGACAGAACGCTGGGCCAATTCCCAAGAGAGCTCTGGCATAGACTGGCTGTTTGACCTTCAGCAGGTGAATTCACTTCTCTGATCCTCAGTGTCCTCTGTATGAGAGAGAATATAATGGTTCAGCTTTGCAAGGGTGTTAAGAAGACTTGGTCAGATAAGGCCTGAGAAGCCCAACGCCTGCTTGAGGAAACACTCCCTAAACACGGTCCCACTGTAATAGACGCGAATGGTATTTCCTTCACCAACTGAAGACTTGGGGGTTGATTTTATCTCCAGAAAGTGACAGAATGAGCCAGGAGAAGTAGGCTAGGGAGAAGATATTCTGTCCATGCACATCCCACACTCTCCCTCTGGGAGAAGTAGGCTAGGGAGAAGACATGAATCCATGCACATCCCACACTCTCCCTCTGTACAGGAATTGCTCGACAAGAACCTTAAAAAAAAAAAAGAAGGCACTCTAAGACTCATATTGTATATGTTTGTTTACTTTGCAATCCTAGGGATGGAACCGAGGGCTACACTTATACCAGGCAAGCACTTTTCCACTGAGCTCCACTCCCGGCAGCCACAGGGTGAGACAGAACAAGCCCTTGCTGTGGCCTTTTGCCTGGGAGTATGGCCCCCTCCATTGGCCTGGGGCCTGAACCATGCCCTTGGTAATTGGGACATGGAGGTTTTTAGGACTGATTGAGTCAGACTAGCTCAGTCTCAGGAAAAGGAAGCTCAGCAGCATGTGACCACTGAGCAAAGGTAGGGCACCCAGGAGGCAGCAGCAGAGTCCTCTCACCCTTCCTGACAAAGGCCGGGCCACCATGTGTCCCACCTGTTACTCTCTTACTGCAGGAAAGTAGGTGAACAGGGAAGGACTGTGCAAAGGGCCTGGTGAGCCCCTCCAGGGTTCCAAGTCTGTTCCCAATCACAGGGACTCTGAGGGACATGCCGCCAGCTCCCTGGCCTCTCACCTCTGCCCTGGCTGAACCCTGTTGTTGGCACCCACAGGAGCTTCGGGTAGACAGACGCCTTCCTGTGTGAAGAAGAAGCCAAAATGGTCTTGAGGAAAGAACCAGGGACATTTCCAGTGACTGTCACTCTCAGGGTGAGGCAAGAAGGTGGGGTCATTGTCCAGAGAGGACCGTTGCATTTACAAGGCACCTTATCTTTATGACAAAGGCACATGTAGCATGAGAGATACGATGAGGCAGGTGGCACCCTCCGTAAAGCTCTCGTTCTATCCTGCGAGACTGGGTGGCAGATGGACAACTGGACTCACTGTGTGTGTTGGGGGGCTGGGGACAGTCCTTGTCACCTGAGATTCTCCAAGTCAGGGCCCAATGGTGCACCCAAGCCCAGTGGGGATTTGGAGGGCAATTCCTGACCCACCCTCTCTATGCTTCCCTGACTTTGTCTTCTGAACTTGGAATCTGCCCAACACCCTTCTATTCACATGGCTTCTCTCTCTCTCCCACCCTGGGGCAGACCCAGTCAGAAACTCCAAAAAAGACCTTTTGGCATGGAGGATTGGGAATGGGTGCTGCAGGACCCAAAAGTTTCCGTGTCCCAAGAGGGAAAATTCAGAACAGTCAACAGCACCCATACACTGCCCAGGACACAAAGCTTCAAAACCCAGACAGGAAAATAATGCCAGCCACACTGATTGCAAAAGAGGTTCAGTTCTATTTGTTTTGTAGTAAGGTCAATATTGCAATGCTTCCAGAGTGATATATACAAAACCCAAAAACCCTGGAAGAGGGGCAGGAAGCCCCCCCTCTTGTAGAATTCTAGGACTTTTGCCTCCTCTCCATCCCCCTAAGAGTTTAGATGTGTCACAGAAGGGCAGGTAAGCTGCTTGTCCCAGAACTGAGTCCTTGATCCAACACAGCCAGTCTGGTTTTGGTGCTCAAGTCCAACTTGCCTATGATCTCAAAGGGAGGCTGACTTAGCTCCCGGCCCCTTACCCTATTGGTTGTGAGACGCAGGGGCCCCCTTAGCACTGCTGGGGGCTGTGGTCCCGGAACACTCAGGCGATAGAAGAGATCTGTGTTTGTTTCTGTTCCCTGCAGAACAGAACCCTGGTGCAGGGCCAGCAGCTGCCCAGGCTGTGGGGGTGACAACAGAACAAAGTGGACATCAGCAGGGCCAGGGCGATGATGCAGGCCAGAACCCACCGGATGACACCTGGGTAGATGAAGGGCAGGATGAGGATGATGAGGAGGGCCAACAGGAGCATGTGCACAGCCAGGCGCCTTGCTGCCACTCGGTTGACGCTCCCGATGTCTGGCTCATCCTCTCCTGTCCAGACAGCTGGCTGTGTTGCTGAAGTGGCAGACCCCGCCAGCCCCTGGGGACAGAGTCGCACCTCTGGGCAAGGCAGGGCCAGCCGCCCCACCACTGCCTCCTGGTCTCTCAGGCTGCAGATGAGGCCGCCAGGGACGGCAGTGACCTTCCGGCACAGGGGGCAGAGGATGGACCAGGTGTCATCCTGTACGTAGAGTAGAAGTTTCAGACACACGGCGCAGAAGGTATGCTGGCAGCTCAGCAGCTTGGGGGACCGGGCACAGCTGTAGGGCTCTCTGCATACCAGGCACTCCAGGTCACCCTCCGTGGACATACGATGACGTCCAGTGGTCCCCAAGGCGATGGTGGTGGCGGTGCTGGCTGAGATGGGTGGGGGCTGCTGCTGGGTCTCAGAGCAAGCCATTCTGGGTACTGGGATGGTGGGATGAGGCTGCTCAGCACAAGGGCATCCACAGGGAGGATCCGCTGGGGCCACCAGGATCTGGATGGATTCCGGCCCTGTGGGGACACCTCCATCCTCCGTTCTACTTTCTCCTGGTGCCTGTTGACAGCAGACGTCTGGCATCTTCCTCTCCTGGCCGCCCAGCTTGCTTCTCAGCTTACATTGTCCTTTCGGTTATTATTATTTCTCTACTTGAAACCGAGGGTTAATCAGTAACTTGGAGACCTGGAGACTTTGAATTACCTGATAGACGGGACAAAGGGGGTGGGACCTAATGAATCAGGACTTTCCTGTTGGGGCTGTGTCTGGCCAGTGCCTACATGACAACCAATGATGACAATAGGCCCACAGAGGTCCCTGCTGAGCTCTGGGACGCACCAGCAACTCCCATTAAGTCCCCTGGCCCAGAGAGATGAGGGTATACCAAATTGCTTTCAAAAGTTAGATTTATTTATTCTGAGAGAGAAAGAGAGAGGTGGGGAAGAAAATATGTTACCACGTGCTTGTGGAAGTCAGAGGACAACTTGTGGGAGTCTGTTTTCTCCTTTTACCATGCTGAGATGGGTTGGGGATGGGATCGAACTCAGGTCCTCAGTCTTCCTGGCAGACCCTTTTACCTAATGAGCCATTTCACTAGTGTCCCGCCCCCCCAACCTTTTAAAATGCATACTTTTCAGGATTTAGACCCAGAGAAGCAGATGTAGCAGGCCTGGACTGGGTCTAAACATCCATACAGTCCACATAATCCTGATGTAGGTGTCGCTCCTCCTCATAGATGGGTTTCTGACCAAACCTTCTGGGTGTCAGGATCATTGGGGATATGTTTGCTGTGCAAGCAGGTAGCCTTGTGAAAAACAGAGATGTGGTGGGCAAAGTGGAATGGAAGGGCAGAAAGCCCAGTAAACAGAAAACAACAACAAAAATCCCTCAAAGCCCCGGTTGGTTCACTTAGTTCCACATCATCAGGACAGCTGGATTAGCAGATGCTAGCTCGGGAGCATCTCACTGTACACCACACGCACAAGTGTCTAACAATTAGTACCACTGCCTGTGACCTCAAGCCACTATTTCTGTGGGCCTTCTCCCAGCAGGCTCTGTCCTGGACCCTCATCTGTGGTCTCCTGGAATCCCAGTCCTGTGAGGAAGACTGGTACATGGGCAGGGTGTTGGCCTGCTGGCTGTCTGCCAAAGGGGCCTTCCACAGGGGCAGGACTTAGCCATGTCCAAGGTCTGGTTCCCAGTCTCGTGGAACTGAGCCATGTCAGTTTATGCAGATGCGACTGGCCTCTGGGTAGCTGGCTCAAATTGGCAGGATTCACATAGGATGGCAGATAGAAAGCAGGGTGGCAGGTAGGAACATCTGTTTTCTTTACCATTCCTGGAACATCAGAGGGTGGGGTGGCATGTCTACTTCCTCAAAAATACACCAGATGCAGCCACACTGAATTCAGTTGTGCTCTCCGCCTGGTATCACCTGTCAGGGGTCACCCGGCGAGTAGCTCTTTGGAGTCAACCCTTTCCCTTACCCCAAAGATGAGGCTGCTTGCTCAGCCCCACCTTAGGCTGAGTAAGCAGTGACTTCTGCCTGCTGTGGTTTCTGCTAGATTCATGTAAAGGGGCATTGGCTCTAGCAACAAACATCTATGCCCTGTATCTGTTTCCCACTTACTGGGAGACCTTAGTCTGTCTTCACTCTGGGAAGCCACTGCTCCCCATAACCCTCTTTCATGGCTTTGTTGGGGTTCATTTCTTCCTCGAGTTCTGTCATGTGATTCAGGATGGAGCGGTTGGCGGATGCCATGTGCTTTAGGAGGGCCAATCAAAATCAGCATATTTCATCCCGCTGGCTGCAACGATTGCTTCTGGCTAGGCATAGGGTCTAAACAAAGCCAATGAGATTGACTTCTGGAACTTCTATTAGAACTCTTGAGGAAAATTGTCTCCTGGGTTTCCAAGCCTGAGGGTGGAGCCCTGGGGTGGTGGAGATGGCAAAGGAGACGGGGAGGGAGGACCACAGTGCATAGAAACCAGCCCAAGAATAAGATCAAAACAAAAGACAACTGAGAAGACTAGGGTGAAAGGTGGGTCCCTGACTCAACAAGCTGGAAGGAAAGAATGATTCTCAAAAGCTGTCTTCTGATCTTCACATGAGTATGTGCAGACAAGGGCACACACACACATACACACACACACACACACACACACACACACACACAAAATCATTGGGAGATTGAAATCTGATCAAGGAAAGTTACTTGGGATTTGTGTTCAAAGAGCGACCTTTTGATTGAGAGAATAAAAAAAGGAAACTAGGCGCCATGAGTGCTCAGGGGCCCACAGCCCACTTGTTAAAACTTAACAAAAACCAGAACCAGCCTTATCAAAAGGCTGCAGGACAGGCAGGCACCGGTCAAGCTTCACAGATTAAGCCATAAACAAGTTTTACAGACAGAACTCCTGACCACCCTGGGGGCCCGATACCAGGAAATCTTTAGAAAACGTCTGTGCTTCTGAGGTCACCTCCCATTTAGCAATCCTATTTCCCCTCAGCCCCGGACCTTACCCCATACCCCTGCATACCTTTGAAATTACTGGTAAAATTACTATGTGTGTTTGAAATTAACCAATAACCGCGTTTCTGCTTCTGTACCCTGCTTCTGCCTTATAAAAACCCCCTGAACTCAACCTGGGGCGCGCAAGTCCTCCGAGGAGACTTTGTGCCCACAGGTACCTGTGTCCTGAATAAACCTCTTGCTGTTGCAACCCAAAGGCCGTGACTTGTCCTCCGTGGTTTCACTCTTACATGATGTTGTTGGGTTAGAAAACAGATTGAATGGAGAATGTAACTCATAGCTCAGTGGCAGAGCGCCTCCCCACAATGGTGGAGACCCTGGCTTGGATCCTTATCGATGCCCAAACAAAATCAATTGGTTGTACTAACCCAAATATTACAGAAATATACAAAATAGATTATAAGCCAGGAGTGGTGTCTCACACCTGTAATCCCAGCATTTAGAAGGTGAGACAGGAGGAAATAATGTGTTAAGGCCAGCCTGGCTAGATGGCAAGTCCCAGGCTAGTGTGGGCTATGGAGTGAGACCCTGTCTCCAAAAACATTCCCAAAGAAACCAAAACAATGTAAAACATGAACGTTTCTTTCACCACTGCCCCTGAGGATGACTGCAGCCAGCAGAGGGCTTCTTCCTGCTCTCCTCATTCTACCACCTTGGATTGGGAGCAACTTAGTTTCCCTCCCTCCCCTCTTCTATCCCTCCATCCCTCTGTCCCTCCCTTTCCTTCCCTCCCTCTCCCCTTTCTTTTATATTTTATTCTTTAGTTTTACTCATACTGTGTATGAGTGTATTGCTTGCATGTACCTGCACCTGTGCTTGTAATGCCAGAGTACGCTAGAAGAGGGCATCAGGTCCCCTAGAGCTGGATTTACAGATGGTTTGTTAGTCCCCAGTGGGTTCTGGGAACTGAACCTGGGTCCTCTGCAAGAGGCAGTCAGTGCTCTTAACAGCTGAGTCATCTCCCCAGCCTCTCTCTCTCTCTCTCTCTCTCTCTCTCCTCCCTCCCTCCCTCCCTCCCTTCCTTTCTCTCAGTGTCTCTCTTTCTCTGTCCTTTTTCTTTCCTCCCTTCCTTCTCTTTATTCCTGAGGCACCCTATGTAGCCCAGGCTGGCCTTGAATGCAGTGCCCCTTCTTCAGCCTCACCAGTGTTATGATTACATATGGGCTACTACCTTAAGCCGCACGATTTTGCTTTGTGAAGGCACCTTGACCTAGCTGTCGTCTGCACCAACTTCATAGTTGGAAATCTGGCTCCTGTCACTTTCCTGTGTGATGTTTGGCAGCATTTCAACCTCAGTGAAGCTCAATTGAATAGCAAAGGGACAACACTTCAAGAAATTAAAGAAGGCTGGAGTACTCCATCCCCATTGGAACCAGCCCAGGGGAGGCTCAGGAATGAACAGGCTGTGGGTTGTAATGGACCTAGTGCAACTGATCTCTCCCAGGGACTTGAGAGGACACTGTGAGTTGACCAGCCGAGGCTTCTTTCAAGAAGTGACTGCAGGGTGTGGGCTCAGCCAGGTGGGCTCCTTCCCAGGGGAACTGCAGACTGTCCCAGATGACTGAAAATGACCCCTTCATTTCAGTTTACTTCGTGTGGTATTAGAATGTGGAAACAGGAAGGAATCCTGCCAACTCTTCAAGTCAAACGTCTGTTTGTTTTAATTGCTGTACAAATACAAACTCACTAGTTTTCAGTAAAACTTTCTTTTTTGTTTGGAAATGCAGTTTCTTCCATCTTGAGACTTCCCACAGCCTGGGGGTAGAATTTCACACTTTGCAGCAAGTGAAAGCCGAGAATCAGCCTTTAAAGGGAGAGTCACAAGGTGCAGGTAACCAGGGATCAGAGGTTCAGTGTCTTCTCACATTCTTCTCCCAGAATTCTCTGCTCTGTGCTCTTAGAACCTTGTTGCAGTAAAACAAAACAAAGCAAAAATCAGACAGAAACCTGCTTGATTTTGTTTAATCCTGACTTTACTAGCTTATTTGCCTGTGGTGCCCACTCTTCCTGCTTAGGAAGTGCTGGGAATTGAAGTCAGGGGCTCACTCCATTGTGGAACTATATTCCAGGTTTCAGAAACCTTTTATTTTATATATATAATTTTATTTTTTATTATTTTTTATGTAGATGAGTGTTGTGCCTGCATGTATGTAAGTATATATACATGTCTGCATGTGTGTAAGTATATCCATGCCTATATCAATGCCTGAGGAGATCAGAAGAGGGTGTTGGATGCTCTAGAACTGGAGTTACAGACGTTTGTTAGCGGCTGTGTGGGTGCTGGAAACCAAACCCAGTCCTCTGCAAGAGCAGCTAGTGCTCTTAACTGCTGAGCATCTCTCCAGCCCCAGAAGCCTTTTCAAACACAATACTTCTCCCCTCCCTTCCTTTCCCTTTGTCCTCTCTCTCCCCCTCTCCACCCTTCCCCTTTCCTCCCCTCTCTCCCCCTCTCTACCCCTTCCCCTCTCCTCCCTTCCTCTCTCCCCCTCTCTACCCTTCCCCTTTCCTCCCCTCCTCT